TGATCATTCTGATCATTAAGAAGATCACTCTGATCAATTCAAAGAGTTTATAACCATTTGGCAATTCAAAATCCATTTGACAGCTGATTAGTTAACTGCTACGATGATCAGTGTTTCAGAAACCGGGCGTTAGTTAAGGACTTTTGTAATCCTTTATCCTTTATCTTTTTACTGTTTTTAAATTTAATCGTTTTTTAAGATCCTCCGCTGCACAACCCGTAATTAGCAGAAAAGTGTTTTTTTGTTAACAGAACCGGGTGCAGCTAGTGATTTATAATCATTAGAGACTCACAAACGTATAAAAACATAATTATCAAATGCATGTTTTCGTCAACCGACCTACTACTTTATCGACCTTAGTGCTAATTCACCGAGTACTGTTGTAAATGCAATAACGAAAAAAACAAACGTGAGGAAACTGAAGAATAACTTCCTGTTAGCGGAAGTGGCATCTGTGGAGGTCGATTGCTCAATTTTTAGTATCTGCATTGCTGAATATAACTCAATATCACAATCGCGTATACAAATAAAGATATCTTAGCATAATATATTTCGACAATATATTCGGATATTGACAAAAAGTGATTAGTAGTTTCTAAATCTCTAATAATTGTAATAAAGTAAATGTGTCTTAGAATAAAAAGCGGGAAAAATTAACAGATCAGATCAAAGGCTAAAACCTGGTCCCGGCATTATGTACCGTTTCATTTTTTTTATTAAAAAAGCTTAATATCTGTTAGTTGCCTATGAAACAGTTACCAGCGTGTCAAGAACTTACAAAGATAGATCATACGTTTTTGTTAAATGTATAATCTATAAAAGGATTTAATTCGCTTAATAAAGCTCACCAGTCACATGACAGACTAAAACCTCTTTTAAGGTCAAATCCTCATAATTTTGATTGTAGGAATTACGATACATAATCAAGAAATAATTTAACAATGAAGAGGTTAATGGTTTTCAAGAAATATTTCGATAAAGACGAAACCTAAAATAATTTGTACTGATAAGTTATATATTAAATTAAATATTAAATTAAACTAGTTTACGGATTTCATCGCGTTTTCATTTTGATTTGAACTGACAAGTCTGAAACGGGTACATTACTTTATCAGGTGAATACATACATCGAAAGAGTAAAATAATTATGATTTTGATCCTAGCCGATTGAATTCTACTTTTATAAAGGAAAAATAACAGTAATTTTGCTATACGGTAAGCATACTTCGAAACTTTATGTTTTTTTAGATTTTTGAAGATATTAAGATACTTATTCCAAATGATATCCTTGCTCCGGATTGCTCCGTAGAATGGCACTGAGCGCTTAATATGGTCATACATATGCATGCGAATCGTGTACACTCAATGTCAGACTACTAAAGTGGAGGTCGATGATTGATCATTTTTATCAGTGTTTAAACGCCTTTTTTAGACACAAACAAGCTCTTGCCCTGGCTTGATGTACAGGAAAATATCCTTCATAAATGGTATTTATCTCTCATAATGGTTACTTGGATTTATGCGAATATTACGAGTTATAAATGAAAGTATTTTTCTTTTTTTTTTAGATGAACAGACTTAGTTGTTTTACGTCACATTTTCCAAATTAACCCGTGCCATGATTAACTAATTGATTATTTATTTCGTTCCTTAACTATGCAGATTGAAGCATGAAATGTTTATCAGTTTAAATTTTTTTTTATATAAAATTTTAATTTATGCTTCAGTACCACCGATTTAAACGGCGTTAACCGATTAATATTTGATTCGGCAACAAAATTAAGCAATGGTAAACAAGTTTGCGATTTCTGAGACGAGAATGAGCAATAGGATACATTGTTTATAATTTAACTGCAGAGTTTGCGCATAAAATGTAAACACTTTATCAGTGCTTCTAGAAAGATTATTCGGACGAAGCGGCATACGTTCAAGGAGGAAGGTAATCAAGATATAAATTTAAAAAACATGTAACAATTGTTAACAAATGTACAAAAATTAAATAAAAACTAGTAAACTGAAGTGGTATTAATATTTATTATGATATATAATAAAATATGCCCAATACATATTTTTAGGTTATGATATCACACGATGACACATCGTACGAAATTGTATCAGTATTTTCGGTAATACATATATGTCAATAGTTTTGTGCCGTCTACGTTCAATAACATTGCTTGATTTACGTACTAATTCAATTTCAATGCAAAAACGATACGACACAAAAATATATTAGCAAGCAGGGGTGGCATCGAAGTCTCAATGAAGACCAGCGTGTATAGGAAGTATATAGTCTGTTCATCTTCCTGATGTCTGTTAGTCTTTAAAAGGTTGTTAACGCACGGGTGTCTTAGATGTCCATTAAAATCTTCGTACAAATATAAAACATGGCATGAACTGATGAAGTGTAATGAATCTGCCAACTATGCTGTTGTTATTGTTTGTAAACTTTGAAGTCCTTTCACATTCATCGCAGTGACGCTTACGAACACCACAGATACGAAATAAAACGCGATGACTGTGACATCGCAATTGACCTATTAACTACATCGGGTCAACGGAGCTGCGCGTCCGCATTAAAATGAAAACGGACTGAATTCTTTGACAGGGGTGCAATGCAATAGACTCTTAAAGAAAATATTATTTATCTGTAGCGTTTAGATTTTGGAAATTTAGAACTTCAAACGGCAAATTTTATTGTATACCTTTGCACAAACATTACTAACCTCCGTCACAAATTACCTGCAAAAATATTTTTCATTTTTTTTATGTCATCGGGTGAGTTCATGTTCATAAAAGCCGCGTTATATTTTTTCTTGTTTATATTTAATTTTTAAATCAAAAGTACTAAATAAACGTAAATTTAATATTAATTGTAATACAATTTATTAGTTATAAAGTATAAAAATCTATAGTAAGGTCATATCGCAGTAGTGAATGTTGCCCTTACTCCCAAAAGGCACCCAATTATAGTAATTGGCGATAAAACACAGCAATTTACAACAAAACTGTATAATGCGTTTCAGATAAGAATAGGAACGTCAATGACCCCGATCGACCGCGATCTGTCAACTGTCATTTGAAAAGATAAAACTTTTTAAAATTAAATTAACTTTTTTTGTTTAATTAAATGTGACAATTGGCAAAAATAAATTTACCACATCAAACGAAGCACAAATGAATACCGATTAAGAGAGATATTTCAAGACGACGATAACTTTAGTTTTATTATGAATACAAAAACAGTCAGTGGAATATAGGTAAACATGTTTAATTTTTTTTTTTGGAAAATCATGATTGATTATGATGATAATCACGGTGATGTCTACTCAGACAGAGATGCAGATAAGCGGAATTGAAGTGCTAGAGTGCTATCAAAACTTTTTCTTTCATGCTGTAAATACAAGATTTATTTATGAATAGATATTATTTAAAAAACTATCTGATTTGCTCACCCTGCCTCACTGGTTTGAATTGACAGATATGACGTCACAAAATGGCGCCAGATCAGACCTATGTGTATCGCAACGTACAGATATCGTAAATTTCATCGAAAGACAATACGTTGGCGCAAACAAAGCACTTTCATACAACGAAATCTTGCCAACAGCGCAGAAGAGCCATATTACAAAATTTATTTATTATATATTATAAACAAAGACTTCTTTATTTTGTATTTAACACAGTTAATATGGTATATCTAGAACAAATAATAATTACAAATTTAAATAGTACTTTTTTGTATATTACAAAATGTAGTGTAAAATAATCATACAGCATTTTATATTATTTATTTTTATTGTATATTAATAGCAATAATTAAGATTCTTTATAACTATAAGGTAAAGAAAACGTTTTTCGTATATTAATTAAGGCCCGATCATAAATAGTGACAATATGCTAAATAAATCAAATACGTTAAAAATTAACTTTTACATATAATCTCAAATTGAGTTACTCGTTCTTTAACGAATGGGAACATCACACATCTCAATCTCAACAGTTTTTAAATAACTCCAATTACAAATTACATCTTTTCGACTGTTTTAATCTTACAAAGACAACCTTCCTATGTTAAGTATATTAAGTTTTTGTGAGTAAAACATCTGGTCCTACAATGAAATCTCTCATATTTTTTTAGTATCTTTTAAATGTTAGAGAAACTATAGTTAAAGATACTATATCTTTTAAATGTTTTAACAAATGATCAAGCTTTTAATAAACGTTTTAAAACTTAATACGTAGACATTAAACGGTTACATAATTTCTTGAATACAAATGCAATCATTAAAGAAATAAAACACAAATATCTGATACAATAAAAAAAAATTGTCTATTTCTATAGCACGAATAAAAGCTGTGTGACTAAATGATTTGTAAAAATTTATTATGGCCTGTTTTAAAACCCAAACATTTAACGCGTCGTTGTTATAAAACCAAAAAGTCTAAACAAAACGTCAGATACAATACAAGTGTGTTTTTTGTGCATTTAAGAACTGGTCGATTGTAAAACACGTAACCGGAAAAAATAACCGGTTCTGCATTTCAATAATAATGTTATTTCTAAGTGTTCATGACGATTTTGAATGAAATGATAAATCGATATCCGGAAAATTAGAAATATTATTGCTTCAATACAAGCATAGCAGAGACAAAAACTGTTCAAAGGCACACCAACGCCATAACTGCGTAAATAACAAAGTTTGTGTCATTAGTCCATACAGTTTTTGCTTTGTGATTATCATTATCAGTAGACAGGATTACAAACTTCAGGCGTATTTGTTGTATTTACACTGTATTTTGTCCATTAACTCATCGAAGCGTCTGCCTCACGCCTCATGCCTACTTCACACAATGAGTTTGAATCGTCATTGTCGTTCTTATTCAATTGTCACTGTTCACCGCTTGACCGCGTCACGTCACGATTGCATTTAACGTTTGAACACGACGACGACACAGTGAATTCATCACCGCGTCCCACTTGATGTTGCACATCATCACCTGTCCTGTTCCGCCGCCACCCTGGCGCAGGTCTCGCAGTTGGCGTGCGACCGGAAATTGTTGTTGTTGTTCTTCCTGCGCACCGCGTGGTTGCGCTCCCGCGAGGGGAACTTCTGCATCTTCCGCTCGGGCTCGCTCCTCTCCGCCCTCAGCAGCCGCCGGCAGACCTCCGCCCACTCCAGCTGCTTCATCGCGAGGCACATGGCATGTCCTCACGCGTCGAGCTCTCGATCGATAGTGTGTACTGTGTACGTGCGCCTGCGACAATCTGCTCCAACAGCGCCGTCTTTCTCACCGCTCGCGCGAGTAAGAACCGATGCTTAAGCGGCGCCGATTGGCTTTATCGGACTGCGCGATAAGCGGCTACTTGTCGACACACGACCGCATTACTACCGATCGGATATTCGTCCGTCCTTCGGAATTCGTCTTCGGGTCGCGTATATGCGATTTGTTTGTCGACGCTATGCTTCGTGAATGGTGCAAGAGCATACAGCATACGTTATTTTCCAGTCGTTCCACCAGTAACAATTCAAGACATTAGAAGAGCCGCAATAACGCATTTGAATTAATTATGGGCGCAAGGTATCAAATAATTAGCTACCAGGTAAAGACGAGACTTTTGAATTTTTTACTTCTTTTAGTTTTTGGAAAAATTATGAGAGCGATTGAAATCATTGTATCACCATAGTAACGGATACAACCACTTTTTAACATTTACCTATAATTCCAAGTTGTCTAATTAAACTATTATCCAAAGCATTTAATGTCTTAACGCGGACTTTTTTTATTTATTTTGTTTTTGTTACGCTAAAGTAGTTGTGTAGTACATAGTGCAGACACACGTTTTAACGATGAAACTATATTCAAATATGAGGTACCGCTTTTGAAGCGCTCCATTGCTGTAATTAAATTGCAATTCTATAGACTGCTATCCCTTTCAGTATCATAATAAATAAATAAAGGATAAATCTTTAACAAAGGCTCCACGTGAAACAAGTACCTGTCCTCGTGTATTTTGCGTGATTCCATGTGTTATAGCGTAGTTTCGGTGCTAATCCACTAACGGCCTCGTACCAAGCGAACGAACCTTCACCTTGAATTTCTTCATTCTATACACGGAATGGAGACAGGTCGCTAAACAGATTATTAATTACAACACGACTGTTGTATGACCGATACAATAAAGATAATGCGGGGTTTCATTGGGCATAAAATGGTCGATTAGTTGTTCTGTATTTTTTTTTTCGATAGATGGAGATACAGAGTCCTATGTATCCTGTTAGTTGGCTTGAAAATATCTTTTGCCTGTTTAAGATCTCATGACTCCTAACCTGGCTAATTGGTGAATTAGGTCTTTAAAGTCCCATAGACAATTTTTTTTTTAAAAAGATGACATGTTTTTTAATTATTTATACAGCACTGGCTGACTTTTGTTAAAAACGTCATTATTTGTCTTTACCGATATTTTTAGTATGTTTATCTTCTTTAGTTTGTTTGTTGTTATCTTAGTTTACTGCTATATTTTAATGTACCTGTGCTGTGTGGAATAGTGTTCATTTTACTTTCACAACTTAACTGTCAAAGCATTTTGCTCTATAAAAATGTATCCGCTAAAACTGAGAATCCTTGTAATATGTCAGAAGTTCATAAAAAATGTGATTAACTGACCTCCATGGATGCGAGATAAATCCCGGGCACAATTCCGGGCAGTTATCGCAAGGCCTGCCTTCGGACACCTCCTTTATTCGAACCCCCTGCGAACAAAAAGTAACCTTAGTAATACATTCAAAACTCTTTAAATGCAGCGATCAGATCTAACCTCGATGAAAGTCTCTATAGATGTAAAGTCATTGAAATTCTCGAACTCCCAAGTATTTTCTTCATCACTCTTCAACAGTTCTTTGTGGATTGCTTCATCATCCTCTCTGCATTCATCACCGCTATCGCATTCGCTGTAACTGTCCGAAGTTGTGTCGCTATCCCGCCTGTTAAACAGCTTGAATATCCCCGCCTTCTCTCGCCACGACTCCCCTTCGAAGCTGACGTTCCTCCTGTGTTTCTTCCTTGTGATCTTGAACGGCACTTGCTTCAGCTTTGGCTGCTTAAAAGATACCTTTCTCGTAGTAGTTCTTTTGTACAACTTGTCGTAATTCTCTTCAGAAATGCCGCAGTGGTAAATCAGGTAATCCCTTCTTATCTGCTCCCTTCCCGCGAGATCACGCCAATAAGTCTCTTTCTTTCTCACGCCCAAGTAGTAATCCAACTCTCTTTCGCCTAGGTCTTCCTCCCCGTCATCTTCTCTACTATCTTCGTATTTACTATCTTCTCGATCTTCGTTATTTTCGTTCTCCTCTACTAATTTTGCCAACAAACGATACTTTCTCGTGTTCGGCACTTTCTTCAGGAGATTGGCTGTATTGGAAGTGAGAAACTTCGTCGTTTTCCTACAAACCGTCGCCACTGACTCGCGGCGCTTCTTCAAATTGTTCATAATTCTACAGCTTAGGAAAGATGATGCATATTATTTTAGTACCAAACAGTCAAACACTATGTTTCGAAAAAGAAGACTTTTTATACCTTTAAATGTTATGTGAGGAACATATATTTAAACTATTATAATATACCGAATAACGTAAAATAATGTTTTGTCTAGAGCGCGAAACAATGTGTAAAGAAGGTAGTTACACACGTGCACGGTGACGAGAAACTAGACCAGGCTTTACTGCTCCGAAGCGATAGTTCGGATGACGTGATAATGGTCACCTTCCAATGAACGCACGAGCTTTAGGCCGACAATATAGAAAAGAACTCCGACCAAGTACGCTTTCTTCCCATCGGCATTCCATCAGTCGTTGGACAGAGTAGGCCGGTGGGATCTAAGTAAAATGGCCTCCGTTGATGGTCGGGTCGTTGTGAGGGTGTGGGCTCTTTACGATCAAGCAAACAGAACTAAATGTGTTCGTCGCAAATGACACCGCAAATTGCAACACCCTTGGACAAAATTGCCCGTTAAATTTCGTAGCTTGTTAGTCGTAGTAGTGTACACCTCGTTTTAAGGACAACGGCAGAGCGTGGTGTTAAAATGTAAGATTTTGTTTATTGGGTTGTTATTGAGAAATCTTAAAATTACTTTTCAATAAATACTTAAAAATACAGATTTGTAACATAAATATAAAAGAATAATAAATATATACATAATACCTACATCATTAATTCTATTCGATAACTTGTTGGACTATTGATTAAAGCGCCATCTATGAATTGCAATACAAACTCATGAAGTCATAGAATGCAAGAGACAGTTTACAACTTTAGCGCCATCTGTTTTATATTGTTATAACTAGAACAGTGCAAGTCAGAGATCGTACCTTAAGTACGTGAAGACTTTATAGACATAAATGTCAATAAATAAAAACAGAGCCTACTTTATTTTTACTTGATACGTTTAGAAATGTAAATATACAATAATGTCATATTAAATTAAAAAAATATATATTTTTTTACTAAACAGTGCCACCTATTGATAAGTAGTCAGAGGTTAAAAGTTTTCGATGTCAATTATACTTATTCTGAATTATAAAAATGTATAAAATATGAGTGTTTCGCGATGATCTGTGTTAAAACTTAAAATGAAGTGTGATGACCAGCTTCGGCGGAAAAGAAACTGCACTAGAAAATTTACGGTTTTTTTTAAATTTTTAAATGAATAATTAAAAATACAAAACTTAAAATGTCAAACACCTATTTTATTTTTGACAATCGGTAACAATAATTTTGTGTGATTAACTTTCTATAAACTTTTATACAATTTTTGCTTGAAATTTAGCGAGAAAAATACTATTTTGTCTCTTTCTTTCATCATTTTCTTTTACAAAACTGACGTCATTTGTATGTTGGTGACGCGAACCTATTTTCCCCATCCGAAATAGCCCAAACACTTCAACTTTTCTAGCCAAATACGACAAGACCTCTTTGCTTATTAATTTATACTACTAAAGTCCTATTTCATTTTCTGTTAACGACCGATCGAGATTTAGGTCTTTAGATCCTTGGTTAATCATGCTGAGTTCTCGTTCTTGGTGGTAGTTCTCGTGGTCCGACTTTCGGCAAATTATTTAGTATTACTTATATATAGCACTTGTTACTCCATCTACCGACGCGTGGCCAAATTAAGTGCTTGGTAATGGCTTTTTTGTTTATAATTGCATATCGGCATAACTTAGCAAGTGTAGGCTGGTCGACGGAATGAATTTTTACGTCTTTTTAACATACTAATGCCCAGTTTCCGAAAGGCCAATCAAAGCAGCAATCACATAACTCTATGTCAAAAATGATCACCTGTTAATCTCTTGTTAAACTGCCTTGGGTTTCTGGAAGGTTTGTTCAAGAAAAATTAGCTAAACACTGTATAACCAACGATAATGAATGAAATGAATGATTCACTTCAACTAACTCTTTCTATTGTATAGCTGTCCCTTTTTAAACAAAACTTAAATTAACGTCACTATCCAGTCCTGTCACCGTGTGATTGCCAACGTAATAATTCGAGCTATAATAAAATTTAATTTATATAAATACATGCAAAATGTCAAAAAAAAAAACTTTACAGAACGTGAAAAAAATGAACTTTTATCCATAATAAACAAGTAAGTATTATAAAAAGAAAGAATCCATATTATTTATTAACTTTTGAATTGCATTTTGTATTTTTTCTAATCATATGATATGTTCGCATAATAATAAATAATAAATAGGTAATAGAACTCATGAATGTCGTAAAAACGTATTAGGAAATTATGTTTACTTTTAATAAAAACTAAGATTTTAGATAAATAACATTTTTAACCAACGATTGATGGTCCAAATTGACAGATTACTAAATAAAACTTGTGACAGCTCGTTAACCACCGAAAAACGCTTTCAGACACTCGATTTTCTGTTGATTGTCCGTTAATCAGTGACTAATTGCAAATCAAAATCAATGTTGTTTAAGACGTTCTAGCAACTCAGATCATGTTAAACAACGATTGACAAGAGATTTATCGTAAATTAAAATTGATTGCGCTTTCGGAAACTGGGTGTAAATAATGTAATTGCGTCATGTCTCGGTCTCGAACGAAACAAAAAAAAATCAGTCGCACGCCCCAGCATTCCACATTCAATCTTTGTATAAAAAAAATCATGTAGTTTGCTGCTTCAACAAAAACATTTTCAAAAACGGACCAAGTCTATAGTGCCGAATATGAACTGACAGACGTAGCGATGGGAAGCCCCCCACTATGACCAACGACATCATAAGAGTCGACCGTTGGATGCAAATGTAAGTGTCGTTAGTTGTTGCGTGCCAAAGGTAGACCTTCCTCCTACAGTGGATCTGTTCCGGCTGATGATGATGAACAGCAAAACACACATAATTATTTCTACAAGTTTAGGTATATGTAAAACTGTACTTATAAATTACTTTTTGATGTTATCGAATAAACACACAGAAGCAATGATATTATATACAAATATACAAGGTAGACTTTTGAGAGCTAGCTCTAGCGCGCCGAAACTGAGGCGCACAAATTACACCAATTGGTGTAAATTGAGCGCCTCAGTTACGACATACCTTCTATATCGTCTGTCACATTCACTTATATACGTCATATAATATGATGCAGAACAATTTTTAAACTCCGAGCACTGTGGACATGCGTCGTGTATAATATAGATAATAATATAGACTGAAGAATATAATATAGACTCTATATAATATGTAACTATAGAATATAATATAGGCTCTATATAATTAAACATCATTGCACAGAAGGGGGTATTTTCGCAAATTTGTTCTGCCCGAAGCCGCTAAGGATTATTCTTAAAATGTCACCCGTTATGAGGCATAATAATGGCCGCCTTGGAATAAATCGCGCCTCGTAATCACGACGGGTTCTTACAGCAAGCGGAATCAAATACACATTCCAAACGGAACAATGGCTTCTATTAGGCTGACTCGGAGACTTTACCTTTTACGCGTTTTGCGTGATTGACTAAATTTTATTTATTTATTTCTTCAAACAATGCACAAGGAATGCACGAAGGGCTTAATACCATCAGTATTATACTGCTTAGGTCGTCCAGGGTACGGTGGTCCAGATTTAAGTAGACTTTATTAGAAAAAAAAAAATTGTAGTAAAAATGCAAAATAATTTTATTTTATTTCGCTTTAATACAATAATAATACGCTACTAACGTGAGTTTGAATCCTTGTGTCGCCATAAATTAAATACATGATAGAAATTTTTAGTATCGATTTCCTTGCATCTTCAGCCGCGAAAAAACTACCGTGAGGAAATCTGAATACCTAAGAAGTAAGTAAATAAAAAATCAAATTTGGAACGAACTAGATTTCAGCTAGCTTTTAATTTTGTTAAGTTAAAAATAGATTATGATCTATATGCTATATGCCATTGAATCGAAAGCTTATAAATCTAAAACTTTAACAACTTTTCAATCGTTCGATGTAAACAAAACGGACACTGGTACAAGTCTGGAATGACATTGTTGTTTTTAAAATGAATTATATCAATTGTTCGACGGGAAGTTTCTAGTTTCCGATGAGACTACGGCGCGCCCGAATGTCTACGCGGTGGACTCACGCCGGGGGTTTTGAGAAACTTTTTGTTGAAATGACCGAAAATATCGTTGCATTCGGCTGCAGGTGAACAATAAAAGCTGCAAGACAAAGAGTCCGAAGTCTCAATATCGATGACGCAATTCCACGGAGTGGATCCAACGAAGCGACAATCTCAAAGTTGATCGGAAAAACTTATCAGAGGGGATATAATGAAAGCGACAGAAATGAAAAATTGTTCTGACAATGTATTAGATAGTGACCGGACAAAATATAAAGCTTTCGAAGTATTCTTTCGATGGTTATATGGTTATAATTTGATGTCCCGATTGGCTTAGTGCGTGGTGACCCTGCTTCTTGCGGCAGAGGGTGTGGGTTCAATCCCCGCTACTGGAAAAATGTTGTGTTATGTACATAGCGTTTTTCCGGTGTCTGGGTGTTTATATATTTATAATATGTATCTATTTACAATAAGAAAAGTAGGTTTAAGTGGCCATATCATAGTAAATTTGGGTATTTATAATAGTCACGAAATTTTATTTGCATGAAGCCTTTGCAAACATTGGATTCTCGTATTCCGTGTAATGTTTTTCTTCAAGAAAAGAAGAGCATTTTGCTATATTTGCGTAAATGCATTAGTAAATAGTGCAGTAAAGCGTATGACGTACTTATGCAGAGGTGCTAGTCATGAGCGATCCGCGGTAAGACACGAATATCATCGCGACCCGAAAACATATGTTTCCTCGATTCATTACTGTTTGGCAAACAAAAAATTACTCATAACATCGCCTTGTAATCCGATAGCTCGGGCTCGAGTTATACGCTGTAGCGGGAACGGGAACTTTTAATGTTTAAATTTTTTTCATGTTGTAATG